TTTTGGCATATCTTGCAACTCACTCAGGGACAGAGTAGTTTCTGACTTGTTTATGCCTTCAATCTCTTCCTTTCCTGTTTTTGTTACTGCTTGGCTGTTGGCTGACTCTTCTGATTCTCCTTCCTGCTCACTCTCAGGAGAAGCTGCTTTCTCCCTTACTAAACGAGTTGACCTCTACTTCCATTGTTTCTTCTTGACTATCTCAGAGCAACTGATATAGTTGAGGATTGGGTTTCTGGTTCAGTGACAGTGTTTGTTTGTATGTCTTCAGATCCAGAGACCATCTCCTCTCCTTACGGGGCCTTGCTAGACCTGCTGTTCACAAACAGAGAGGGGCTGGTGGGAGATGTGGTGGTCGGAGGCCATCTGGGGAACAGTGACCATGAAATAATAGAGTTTTCAGTACTTGGGTGCAAAGAGGGCCATCAATAAAACTTCTACCCTGGACTTCCAGAGGGCAGATTTCGGCCTACTCAGAAGACTGGTTCAGAGGGTACCTTGGGAAACAACCCTTTAAAACAAAGGGGTCCAGGAGGGATGGACATGCTTCAAGAAGGAAGTCTTGAATGCACAGGAGCAGGCTGTCCCAGTGTGCCAAAAGGCGAGCTGGCAGGGAAGACAGCCAGTCTGGCTGAACAGAGAGATTTTAAAGGAAATTAGGGGAAAAAAGAGAGCTTACCGACTGGAAAAAAGGGCTCATGAAGAGTTTAGGAATATAGTTAGGTCATGTAGAAAGAAAATTAGAGAGACAAAGGCAGAATTTGAACTCAATCTAGCCACTTCTGTTAGGGATAACAAGAAGTGCTTCTACAAATACATCAGTAGCAAAAGGAGGGGCAAGGAAAACCTCCATTCTTTGTTGGACATGGGGGGCAACATAGTCACCAAAGGTGAGGAAAAGGCTGAGGTACTTAACACCTTCTTTGTCTCAGTTTTCAACAGTAAGACAGGTTGTCCTCAGGACAACTGGCTTCTGGAACTGGTAGACAGAGACAGGAAGCCAAATAGCCCCCCTGTAATCCAGGAGGAAACAGTTAGCAACCTGCTGAGCCACTTGGATCCCCACAGGTCTATGGGACCAGATGGGATCCATCCTAGGGTGATGAGGGAGCTGGCGGAAGAGCTCGCCAAGCCACTCTCCATCATTTACCAACAGTCCTGGCTCACTGGGGAGGTCCCAGATGATTGGAAGTTGGCGAATGTCACGCCTATCCACAAAAAGGGCTGCAAGGAGGACCCAGGAAACTACAGGTCCATCAGCCTGACCTCAGTGTCTGGCAAGGTTGTGGAGCAGATCATCCTAAGTGCAATCACACAACACCTACAGGAAGGACAAGGGATCAGACCCAGCCAGCACAGGTTTAGGAAGGGCAGGTCCTGTCTGACCAATGTGATCTCCTTTTATGATCAGGTGACTCTCAGTTTAATGAGATTGAAGTGTTTTGCTAAGGAGGATGAGTTATGAGGAAGACCAAATTCCTCCCTCTAAGCAATTGTAAATCCAAAATTAAGAGGCTCCAATTGAGGAAGTATGGAGAAAGAAAAAATAACAGCCCTTTATTAAAGGATATATGTGTTTTGGCAGAACAACAAAAGAACACAAAAACAACCAAACAATAATCTTGTACCCAAAAATCCCCTTCAAAAAGGAAACAGTTCGGTACTTTCTGCCTTTTGGCGCAATTCTAACCACGATCAGCAGGGGGCGCTGTTGGATCACTGGAGTTGCAGAGCCTGCAGTTGCTCTGTGTTGGCCGGCAGGGGGCGCTGTTGGGCTCTGGCGGTCACCACGTGAGGCCCTGGTTTGCGGGAGAAGCCAAAAATGGAGATTTTCCCCCCCACCGAGAAGGGGAAGGGGAAAAGGGGAAAAAGGGGGTTCTTCCCATGAAACTCACGCTGTCTGCGGCTGACTGTGGCTGAGATTTCCCCCCCTTCGTCGATGGGCATAAGCCGCTGCCTAACACGGGAGCGGAGGAGGAAAAGGGTGACCTCCTCCTCAAAAAGTTCCTCTGCAGATGGGTCAAGCCTCTCCAATGAAGTCTGAGCAGATCTGGGCTGGGGGCAGAACAGGGTGCAGGAAAACTGAGGCAAGCCGGGGCCAGAAAACAGTCAGATGACCAGGCCAAAAACAAAAGTGAACCTCGGACCCCTCCAACACACACCTTGCCTGAATTAAAGCAAAAGTCAAGTGTCTCCCCTTTCCAAGGAGACAAGAAAAAAAAACTCATCACCCCTCCCCACAGTCTTAGGAGGGCCATCAGCTTGGAATGCAGGCCTGCTAGTTAGTTCTTTTGTGTGTGTCAATCACCCCAGCCAAAAGAACCAACCTCCCTCTCCCTCGTTCAACATCCTTCTTTCATAAGGATGCAGGGGAAAGGAAAAAAATTCCCCTTGGTTTTTTTAGAACAAGTAAACCTATGACAGTGACCCACCCAATGGATGAGGGGAAGGCTGTGGATGTAGTCTATCTGGACTTCAGCAAAGCCTTTGACACCATCTCCCACAGCATACTCGTGAAAAAGCTGGCAGCCCATGGCTTGGACAGGGGCACTCTGTGCTGGGTTAGGAACTGGCTGGATGGCTGGGCCCAGAGAGTGGTGGTGAATGGTGCTGCATCCAGTTGGTGGCCCTTCACTAGTGGTGTCCCTCAGGGATCAGTGTTGGGTCCAGTCCTGTTTAATATCTTCACTGATGATCTAGATGAGAGGATTGAGTGTACCATTAGCAAATTTGCAGATGACACCAAGTTGATGTTCAGCAAGGCATGAGGTTCAACAAGGCCAAGTGCCACATCCTGCATTTTGGCTGCAACAACCCCATGCAGCGCTACAGGCTGGGGACAGAGTGGCTGGAGAGCAGCCAGGCAGAGAGGGACCTGGGAGTTTGGATTGACAGGAAGCTGAACATGAGCCAGCAGTGTGCCCAGGTGGCCAAGAAGGCCAATGGCATACTGGCCTGTATCAGGAACAGTGTGGCCAGCAGGACCAGGGAAGTGATTCTTCCCCTGTACTCAGCGCTGGTGAGGCCACACCTGGAGTACTGTGTCCAGTTCCGGGCCCCTCAGTTCAGGAAGGATACTGAGGGGCTGGAGCAGGTCCAGAGAAGAGCAACAAGGCTGGTGAAGGGACTCAAGCACAAGTTCTATGAGGAGAGGCTGAGGGAGCTGGAGTTGTTTAGTCTGGAGAAGAGGAGGCTCAGGGGAGACCTCATCACTCTCTACAACAAAGGAAGTTGTAGCCAGGTGGAGGTTGGTCTTTTCTCCTAGGCAACCAGCTGTAGGATAAGAGGGCATGGTCTTAAGCTGTGCCAGGGGTGGTTTAGGTTGGATATTAGGAAGAAATTCTTTACAGAGAGGGTAATCAGGCATTGGAATGGGCTGCCTAGGGAGGTGGTGGATTCTCTGTCCCTGGAGGTTTTTAAGATGAGACTGGATGTGGCACTTAGTGCCATGGTCTAGTAACCACAGTGGTGTTGGATCAAGGGTGTGACGATGATCTCGGAGGTCTTTTCCAACCTAGTTGATTCTGTGATTCTATGATTCTATGAATAGTTCTCAATAATTGTAGACCAGGCCCTAGAACAGTGTGACAAGTTGTGTCTCTGGCATAGCCAGGGCATTCTTTTTTCAAGCATTCTGTCACTTAATCAGGATCCTACACTTGTTCAGGGGTCAAGTTCTAGACTATTGTTAACAACTGTTCTCGGTACCTGCCCGTGTTGTGTCAAATTTGATGTACAGCAAAAAAAGGGAGCATGGGATGGATCAGATAAACCAATGTCAAGGACAGATAAGTCAGCATCACAACCAGCAACTGTTAAACAGATATAATGATTATAAGTTCCCCCCAATAGACTCCTGCCATTATCTCAAACCCTTTGATCCCCAAAAAGGGCACTAAAAAGGACTGTGATGTTGCAATCCCAGTAAACAGCTAAACACCAAACAGCTGCTTTCTCGCTTCCCTCCCCCACAGTGGTATGGGGAAGAGAATAAGAAAGGTAAAAGTGTGAAAACTCATGGGTTGAGATAAATATAGTTTAATAGGTAAAGCAAAAGCTCCACACAAAATGGTCTGAAATGCAAGGTCTGTACTTTGCTCCCCTCAGGATCTTGATCTCCACTCAAGTGAAGACTGCCACTGATTGCCACATCTTCAATTAGTTCATGAGCAGCAGATTCAGCTGTGCATTCCCCAAGTTGGCCCATCCAACACCTCTATTAAGAAGTTTTCATCATCATTCACCCCCCACAGCACCCTTCAGAAGTCTCCTGGAATGTTTCTGTCCCATTTTTAACCTTCCAGCAGATGTCGGGAAGTTTCAAGTCCTCCATAAAACCCAGGGTCTATAATCTGGAGACTTCCTTAGGTTGTTTAAGGAAGGTCTTGTCCCTTTCTTCACACTGTTCAGATGGTCTGTAAGAAGCTCACATCATGATATCACCCCCTTACTAGTCTCTTCTCTGTTCCTGATCCACAAGCTCTCAGACAGCCTGTCACCTATTCAGTAGAAGAACTCTATATGCTTGAGCTACTCCTTCATGTAAGGGGCAATCCTCTCTGTTTCCTTGCCTGTCTTTCATAAAGAGTTGCTAGGTGTAGCTGTACCATTTTATAAGACTATTTCCAGATAAAAGCTCTAGGCGAGATTCCCAATGGTACTTGATGAACTTTGAAAGTCTTTTTCTGTAAGCATCTGAATGTATGTAAAATAGCTGCTAATGGATAGGATAAGAGACCAGATCATAAACCAGCATCCATATTTTGTCAAAAATGCATGAGAATATGGTATCATTCTACGAAAGGAGCAAGGAAGTACAATGTTTACTAGTTCTAAATCTCGCCCTATATAATACACCATATTATTTATACCATTAAAATTTACACCAGGAAATAATAGTTTTTACTTTACATCAGGGAAAGCTGGATGAGCAATGAAATTCCAGGCTTTCCACCTCCTAAATTTAAGTACAGTCGATATAACTAGAGAACCATACTTACTGGAGGAGGCACACTACAGATAGGAAGGTGCTGTCCACTGAATACCACAGAACAACCTGGGACTTGTGTGCTGCAGGGTGGTATATGCTGGGCTGTACAAAGTGGAATTCCATGTGGCGCCACCGTTGTCACCGTGTATGAGACAGGGACTGCACCCTGATGGATCTGCAGCAAAAACACATGTATGAAGTAAGCTGTTACAAGGGACAGTTATGGCATGGCATAGAAAAAAAGCTTTTACATAACATAAGGAAAAAGTATTTTTTACTCAGAGGGTGTTAAAGAAGGCAAATACCTGCAATCCCTGTCCTTTACCAAAAAAAAAAATAAAATCTTCTCATTGGAGTATCACTCTTCAGTCAGTGCTTTTAGGACAAGGCCAGGAGGGGCCTCGCAAGATTTTAAGTCCTCTAAGGCACCATTAGAGACACTCAAAACCATCTCAAATTCAGAAAAGCTGCCCCTCTGACACACTAAGGTTAGTTCTTGGAGAAAATAGGCATCAGTAACCACCGTGTAAAAGCCAGCCAGAAAAAGGAAGGGGGGACCACACCCCTACAAGCAGTTAAAGAATCTCTTCAACTCATCCTTGCCAGAGACTTACATCTTTGAAGAAAAAGAATTTCAGACAGATTTTCTTTCCTGTAAATAAACCAATCTCTGAATGCCTACTCAGGGCAACACTCCAGAGATGTGTCTTAACATGAGTAAAAGCAGTAGTTGAAATCAAAGATTAATAGTAGAGAACATCATGGCTTACAGCTTTTTTTAGATAGCAATATTCACTTAGAACTCAATCATCAGTCCAAGGGTAGAAAGTACCCGGGACCCAGACACTGCTCAAGTTCTTGTACTACATCAGGAATCTAGCAAAAATTGTGAAGAATCATAGGTAGGTAATGTGGATCCACAGAAAGCAATTATTTTGAAGAACCTTCTATCACAACCTGCTAAAATGGAATTCACCCTTGTAAAATGAACAAGCCAGAACAGCTCATTACAAAGGTAAGAATAAACAAATTGAAGAGAGATAACCTACTGAACTGGCCATGAGATGTAGAGGCCAAAACAGGAACAAAACACAGATGACTAAATAATATTTCAAATCTCAAGACTGCACATATTTGGGAAAAACGTCACTCAGCAGAAACAGTGACTTTGACTTAATTCCACTTCAGGTACCAATGCAAATATTTTGTATGTGAGCTATGAGATAATTTTTAACACCGTAACTGTCAGATATTTGAAGACAGTGCCAGATGCAATTCAGGAGAGGTTGCCACTGCTCTCACTGAATAAAGAAAGAAAAAGAAAAAAGATTAAGTAGTTCCCACTATACAATAGTCTGTGCAAAGCACCATCATGAAAGACCCATAGTAACTCTGAAAACATTAACACCTGGTTGTGGATGGTGTTTGGAAGGTAGTAACAGCATTATAGAACAATCATTGCACAAGATGACACTGTAAGTCTGATCAGCCAAGGATAAACACAAATTGTATTTTTATTTTGAGATACTTTAGTAACTCAACTGTCCAAATACAAGTAAAGGTTGTGAGATGGCCAGAAAGATTTTTAGCTTTAACCTATATGCTCTGTTCCAGGTGCAGATACTTCCTTATTGAGCAGCACTCTGCACAGAAAATAGATCACTGATGTGCTGCTGTACTGAGTGCAAGTCACTTTATAAGCTGTGATGTAAGAATTGCATTTTAAGCCAGGCAGTCTGTGACCTGGATATAGAATCATAAAATCATTTAGGTTGGAAAAGACCTCTAAGATCATCAAGTCCAACAATTAACCCAGCATTGCCAAGTGTTAGGATCCGGTTATTAAAAGATGCCTCTGCCCAAATTAAGGTGCAAAGGAGACCATATGCCAAAATCAATAGCACAGATTTTATTTAACAGTAAATATGAGGTAGAGAGACAGAAAGAAATAGGAAGAGAGAGAGATGGGGGGAGAGAGAAAGAGAGAGAGAGATTAAGTAAAAGATCACCACCATGTGGATTCCAACGGTGTCCCGCCGGTCCTTCTTCTTCTGGTCTTCTCGGTGGTGAGGGTTCCAAAGTCGTGCTTCTGGGGTACCACTTTTATACAGTCCGAGTCCCAGATATTCATAGGGCGTTGTAGATGTTCCCACAACTTGGGATGGCATGGGTGTAAGCAGTTGTGTTCTTTCCAACAGCTTGCACAGTGGAATTTTGTCTTGTGTGCTAATTTTAAACCTTTACCTTCATTTAGGTCTGAATTAACACCTTCCTTTCTCACAGTTTTCCATAGTGGGAATCTTTGTCCAGATAGGTTACCCATATCTGCCTTACCAGGCCTGGTTCCTGTTGTTGCCACGTGCTCTTATCCCAAATACCTGTCATGGTGGATTATCTTAAGAGAATTTCCTTCTTTGACAGTGCTTTGAGGCAATTAACTGCATTTTTTAAGTCTTGACACCAAGTCCACCACTAAACCATGTCCCTAAGTGCCATATCTACACATATTAAATACCTCCAGGGATGGCGACTCAACCAGTTCCATGGACAGCCTGTTCCAATGCTTGACAACCCTTCCCATGAAGAAATTTTCCCTAATATATGAATTAAACCTCCCCTGGGGCAACTTGGGGCAATTTCCTATCATCCTGTCAGTTGTTACCTGAGAAAAGGGACGTACACCCACCTGGCTACATCCTTCTTTCAGGTAGCTGTAAAGAGCAATAAGGTCTCCCCTCAGTGTAGCAAGCCAGCATGAGAACAAGAAAGAAGAAGATCAGAAAGGCATGGGAAATGTCTAGATGACCTTATATTGTTTATCTAAAGCCTTGATTTACAGTCCAGGGAGTAGAGCTGGGTTTGCAGGGGGAGTGTAAAGTGACTTGAAACTCCAAGGTCTGTGTGTGTGTGTGTGTGACAGGCTGGCCTGTGAGAGTGATTGATGTGTGACTTGCAGCTGTGTTCTGCCTTGATTTGCCTAACCACTCCCAGTGGGAAGTGAATGATATAAAAACTGTGGACCATGGGGAATAAAGTGATTTCTGTCCATCAAGCCAGAGGTCCATGAGTCATTCCGTCACAAATGGCACTCGAACGGGGCTGAATCATTGCATACAGTGCTCCGTGGCAGAAGCTGCAGCCGATCTGGGTCGGTCATTTGTGCACATCGTCCTGTCTCGGGATCATCACCCATCGTCATGACAGAGATGAGTGGCTGCAGAACTATGGGTCAATCAGTGTCAAAGGAACATAAGTTATATGCAGAAATTTTACATCACATTTTAAAAGAACAGGGGTCTGCTGTTAAAACGGCCCATGTGGTCAAATTGCTCGTATGGGTTAGAGACTCTTGTCCCTGGTTTCCTAAACATGGTTCTTATGAGACTGCATTATGGGCTAGGGTCGGTGAGGAGCTTCGGAGAAAGGCTGATTTAGCTTCGAATATCCCGACCAAAGTTGTAGTTGCTTGGAAAGCTGTGTATATGGCTTTAAGAGCTGTGGAACAAACAGACACCATTTCGCAGGCCACTGGTCCGCCGCCATATGCAGATGAATCCTCTGAGGGTAATAAAATACTTAATGACCCATTGACAGTGACTGATGAGCTTAATCCTTTGATCTGGACCCTGTAACCCCTGAAAAAGAAACGGCATTATATCCCCTAAAGCAGGCGGAAATATTAGCAGCTTCTGCCCCAACAGCAGAGGAAATTTTGCAAGCACAATATAATCAACCTCAGTCTCTGTTATCCACGCCGCCACACAAAGTGCCAGCGCCACCGGCACACCACCTGGAGGCTAATGTGGATTCCTTTATTTTGGAAGACTGTAAATTGGCTGCTTTAAAATGCAGGGATGTTGAACTCTTGAATGCTATGCCAGTGCTTTATAGGCCACACCGCCCACCTCAGTTTGAACGTCTTCCTTATGACATTGTGAAAGAAGTTCATAAATCCAGAAAAGACTATGGAATGCAGTCATCATATATGCTGGGGTTGATTGCAGAACTGGTCTTTTTGTTATTCCTGGACTTACTGATTCTGACTACAAAGGTGAAATTAAAATAATGCTGTGGACTCCATGTCCCCCTTGTTACATACCACAAGGGGACAGAATAGCACAGCTGTTGTTATTACCTTATGTGAAGCAGCACAAAGATCATCAGATAGAAAAAACGTGAGGTTTTGGAAGTACTAATACACCGCAGATCTATTGGTCGACTTTAATCTCAGACGGCCAGCCATTGTTAAAATTGCAAACAGAAAACAGGTACTTCACTGGTCTAGTGGACACTGGAGCAGATGTTTCCAACATTAATGCTAAAGATTGGCCTCCTGATTGGGAGCTTGAAATTCCACAAGCAGCCATTACAGGAGTTGGTGGCATGCAGGTTCCGCAGCACAGCAAGGCAGTGTTATCTGTTATAGGCCCAGATGGGCAATGGGGAACTCTCCACCCCTATGTTCTGTCCTTTCCATGTACTCTATGGGGGAGAGACAAACAGTGGAATTTACAGTTAATCACACAAGTGGATTCAAAGCAGGATTTTTCTGAGAGGCCACTGTGCAACAGCCACGGCTCAAATTAGCCTGGAAAACAGACACTCCAGTTTGGGTGGACCAGTGCCCTTTGAAATCAGAGCGGCTAGAATGGGCACAGAAATTAGTACAAGAGCAATTAGAAGCAGGACATATTGTTCCATCTGACAGTCCCTGGAACACACCTATATTTGTAATCCCCAAAAAGTCAGGAAAATGGAGATTATTGCAAGATTTAAGAGCAGTGAATGCTGTCCTTCAGCCTATGGGAGCATTGCAACCCGGAATTCCTAATCCAATGCTTATCCCTGACTCCTGGTACATGGTTGTTCTGGACCTGAAGGATTGGTTTTTTACCATCCTGTTACATGAGAAAGATAGTGAAGGATTTGCTTTTTCTATTCCCAGTATTAATTACAGTGCTCCTATGCGACGATATCAATGGGTTGTCTTACCTCAAGGAATGATGAATAGCCCTATAATCTGCCAGTTAGTCGTTGATTCTGCGTTACAGCCAGTGAGACAGCAGTTCCCGAAAGCCCACATATATCACTATATGGAGGATATCTTAATAGCAGCAGCTAATTCAGTGATGGTTGAGCAAATTTTTATGGTGGTACGACAGTCCCTGCGAATTT